TTTTTTTTCTCTTTCTTTTATTTCTGCATATTATTGGTATACAAATGTTTAGGTTACATATGTTGTCCTTGCCCCACCTGAGTCAGAGCTTCAAGTGCATCCATCCCCCAGATGGTGCGCACCAAACTCATTAGGTGTGTATATACCCATCCCCTCTTCCCCGCTCCCATCTGCCCGACACCCAGTGAATGTTATTCCTATATGTGTACTTAAGTGTTGATCAGTTAAAACCAATTTGGTGGTGAGTACATGTGTTGCTTGTTTTTCCATTCTTGTGATATTTCACTTAGCAGAATGGGCTCCAGCTCTATCCAGGATAATACAAGAGGTGCTAGATCACCATTGCTTTTTGTGGCTGAGTAGAATGCCATGGTATACATAGACCACATTTTATTAATCCAATCATGTACTGATGGACGCTTGGGTTGTTTCCACATCTTTGCAATTGCGAATTGTGCTGCTATGAACATTCAAGTGCGGGTGTCTTTTTCATAGAGCGACTTTTGTTCTTTTGGGTAAATGCCCAGTAATGGGATTGCTGGATCAAATGGTAGTTCTACTTGTATCTCTGAGGTATCTCCATATTGCTTTCCACAGAGGTTGTACTAGTTTGCAGTCTCACCAGCAGTGTATGAGTGTTCCCATCTCTCCGCATCCACGCCAACATTTATTGCTTTGGCACTTTGTGATAAAGGCCATTCTCTTAATTCTTAGAGCATTATTGATATTGTTGTTGTTATTGTTGTTGCTGTTAATGGTAATCTATGTTTAGAGAATATGCACAGATGACACTTCACCATCGTTCTTTATTCACGTGCTTGGTTAACTACTGCTCAGTGCTAGAAAAGTGCATTTTCTGGGTAGCCCCTGGTTAATGTGTATTAAATTTTACTTACATGCCACAGGTACAGGGCATCCAACCATTCTTCACATGCTTTGTGAGCCTACAGAGCACCAGAAGATATAGTCGGGGCTTCAGGAAACTAACAGTCTATGGATGGAGAGACCAAACTAAATTTTCTATTGTATTGTGGCACCAAGAGCATTGTCACATGATGCACAGGGTGCTATGGCACGGCAGAGGGCATCTAGGTAAGGACGAAGTGTGAAAGTTTCCAGGAGGAGGAGGTGCTTAGAGTGAGCATCAGCTAGATGAAGGAGAAAGGCATTCCAGATAAAGGAATGTTTGTGAGAATGCATGAAAGCATGAAACACAACACAGTGGAGAAACTATACATAATTTCATTGAGCTGGGCATGGGATTTGATGATAAGAGGTGAAGTAGAGAGGTAGGTCAAATGCAATCTGATCATATAACAGAAGACATAGGACACTCCTTGGTATTCAAAACTATGTGATACTAAAATTAAAAAGATAGGAAGAAAAACAAAAGTAAGCATAGACCATTTCTGTCCAGACTTGTACATTGTACTGCTTCTGTTCCAAGTTTACCTCCTTCTTTTCAGCTCTGTTCCGGATATTTCTCTTTGCAAACAGGCAACTAGGCCTGGACGTGAATAAAAGGCAAAAAGACATTTATAGTAACTGGTTACAGGAGGAGACGCCCACTGTCTTTCAACTTCAGCACAAAACCAAAACACAATCATATGCCCTTTATTGGCTATGTCATAGCTGGGATCTAGAAAAGCCATTCCAGAGAAAGAAGACAAAACATTGAGTACTAGGACACTAACATGCCAGTAGATACTTTTCTACACTAAGGCCATCTCCCATCAGCCTTAGCTTTTTTTATACTGAGCAACCAATTTTACGGATAAAACATTGTATATGCAGGTTGAATTATGTCTGACTAGAGCTATCTCTTCTCTGAGCATACATCATGAAAATGCTTCATATGTTTAGAATAATGTAGAGTCTTGTTTTTGCAAAGTATTACTGATCAGCCAACATGACAGAAAGTTTATTGAACAAATTGTCACAAATTTTTGATATAAACTATTTACAAATTATTTCTGTATACTCCTATGCCAACTCAGAAAAAATCTCCTAACTACTCGATATTTTTCCTCAAATGTTAGCTAATTTTCTCAACACCGTTATTTTTAAAACAATCTATCCTGCTTCCGTTGTCATGTGAAATTTGTGAACTTTTGTTATGAAAGGAAATAATATTTTCCCTCTCCCAAAATGCTGCCTACCATCAGCATATAATACAGAAACTCTTACCCTGGTAACAAGTACAAGCTCTGCTCTCCTTCCACCCTTCACTTGCTCTGCCTCTTGATTTACAGATTATCAAAATTAGGAAAAGAGACTGATCACGAGGTCCTCTCTATTTTATGGTGTTGCTCTTTCAGAGTAGCCTGGAGGCACACGGCTCCAAACCTCTGTTAGGGGATAGAATCTGCCTTCTAGGGGCAGATTTAGAAATATACCTCAAACTCTCTTTCTGTCACGGTTCTCCGCTCTAGAGGCATGTGCACTTTAAAGTTACCCTCGTCTGTACCCAGCTAAGTGTTCCAATAGGTTGGCGTAAATCTTTGGTTGATACAGGAAAGCTAAGAAAGTGAATTGCAATCTGAAGTTACAATTTAGCTGGGACTGAAACAATTAGTTTACAAGGAGCTCGGGCGCCACCTAGTGACTATTAATACAATTTCCCTGTGTTTCTCTTGCTTTATTATTTTTTTTTGTTTGTTTTTGTTTTTTTTTATATCTCCTGCCTCTACACAGTCACAGCCTCCCCTACCTTCAATATCACATTGACGCATCATTATCTCTCAAAGTCCATATTTTACATTAGGATTCACTCTTGATGGTGCACGTTCTTTGGGTTTTGACAAATGTGTAATGACATGTATCCACCATTATAGTATTATACAAAATAGTTTCACTTCCCTAAAAATCCTTTGCTCTATCTATTCTTCCCTCCCTTCCCCTATAACCCCTGGCAACCACTGATCTTTTTACTGTCTTTTTAAAAACTGATCTGCCTTTTTAAGAATGTCATATGGTTGCAATCATACAGTAGGTAGAGTTTTCGGATTGGCTCCTTTCACTTAGTAATATACATTCGAAGATCCTCCATGTCTTTTCATGGAATGATAATGCATTTCTTTTTAGTGTTGAATAGTATTCCATTGTCTGGATGTACCACAGTTTACTCGTACATTTACCTTTTGAAGGACATCTTGGTTGCTTTCAAGTTTTGTTTTTTTTTTCTGCATATTATGGGGGTACAAATGTTTAGGTTACATTGCCCTTGCCCCACCCAGTCAGAGCTTCAAGAGTGTCCATCCCCCACACGGTGCGCATCGCACTCATTTTGTATGTATATACCCATCCCCTCCTCCCCACTCCCATCTGCCCGACGCCCGATAAATATTATTCCTACATGTGCACTTAGGTGTTGATCAGTGAAACCAATTTTCTGGTGAGTACATGTGATGCTTGTTTTTCCATTCTTGGGATACTTCACTTAGTAGAATGCATTCTAGCTCTATCCAGGAAAATACAAAAAGTGTTATATCACCATTGTTGCTTATAGCTGAATAGTACTCCATGGTATACATATACCACACTTTATTAATCCACTCATGTATTGATGGGCACTTGGGTTGTTTCCACATCTTTGCAATTGTGAATTGTGCTGCTATAAACATTCGAGTGCAGGTGTCTTTTTTATAGAATGTCTAGAAACCAACAGTGAGGAAGATGGCAAATATACTAGAACCGGCTGGGGTCTTTCCAATCTCCCAATAGGCAAACTATAGGCAGACCTAAATCCTATACCTTCCAAAGAGACAGTCAAGCTGATAACCCTCTCATAAGCAACAAAAATAGCCTTTTCGAAGACAAATTTTAACATTACTTTGAAAGATTTCCTTCTACCGTTGCATCAGCTAAATTCAGAATTTCAGTGGACAGTACAACCCCTTAAATCACCATTGTGAATTAAACTGTTTTGA